AGAATGTTTTCATAACCTTGATAGCCCAAGGATATAGTGTTAGAAGAGTTAATACTTCCTCTGGTCCTCATTAAGTTTAAATTTATCTTACTTTAGGTGTTTTTCCATTATTGCATTCCATATTCCAGTGGACTCCCTGACCAGATGGAAGGTATAGATGATTTGCTATGCTTTGTACAGATCTTATTAGTCACCTTGCCTTTCAAATTATGTCTTCATTCATGCAGTATTACTCTTCCTTAAGAAACAGCTCACAATATAGATATTTTTCTTGTTTCCAGCCATTTAACATGATAGGAGTATATCACTATAATTTCTATCTCCTAAATAGCACTATTTTATGATATTTTTAAAAGTCTGTAATGCAAATTTTTATAATATAAATATTTTTACTTTTACTATAAAATTAGACTATGCCCTTTATGTAATAAGAGTAGGTCATGCAACACAGATAAATCTATGCATTTGATTTTGTTTGCTTGTGATATAAGAAAGAGTTGTTTACAATGTTAGAGAAGTATCTATACATGCAATTTAGTGCAGAGAATCATGACAAAGATTCTAACCAAGAGAGTATTTTCTTTGATATATTAAGGAAAAATATAAAGATAGGAGACAATTTTTTTCTGAATGATATGACAATTTATTCTATTTTCTTATTTGAAGGTTGGAAAAACAATGCAAACTAGATACTTGAATAATGCATTCTATTTTCATGAAGCAATATTTTTTTAGAGTCATAATTTCCAATGTATTGCAAGAACATTTGAAACAAATTCATATAAATACTGTTGGAAAACTGCAGTTTGAGGAGTATCTATGTGTAAATATATGGGATTAAAACATTCATCAATATTCTCATGTTGCTAAACGTGGCTATTTTAAGCACATGGTTGAATTTCTCAAGCAATCAACAATCAAATTTTTGGTATTTTAATGACAAATGTAATGGTAATTTTTAAGAAATATTGTTTTGATAATGGAATTTCTTTTTTTCCCCCCAAAGCGTAGTTAGAAATAAAGTCAATGGAACTTTACAAAGAGTATGCAAAAAGACAGTAACAATGTTTTAATACACACAATTGCAAAAAGAACATATCTAATCAAAATTCATGACATTGCTGGCAACTGGAATGCTCTAACAAAGTTATTGTCGAGAATTCTAGGTAGAAATGGGTAAATTATCCTGTTTTTTCATATTAGTCAATTCTGAATATCATACATGTTTCTTGACTGTGCTCTATTCTGCAGCTACACATTTACCCTTTAACTTGCAGATCGTTATTTAGTCACAAGGAAACCTACCAAGGTGATGGGGAGCTAGGACATATTTGCAAAGTGACTGCCTAGCTGACACAGATCAACCCATTAGAATTTTACGTAATGTTGTTAATATACCCTATGCTGTCCTTCTTATTGAGTCTCAGGATATTTTGATTTCTGATATCTCTTCTGGTTGACCAAATATTTTGAAACATTATTGTTTGTAGAGACTAGGATCTTTCCTTGAGGTTTAATACACAATTTATGATGTAGTTAATGATTATTCTAAGTGTAAGAACATACTAACAGTGAAGATTTTATGAAACATCCAAGAATTTTTTAAATTGTAAAATAAATTATATTATGATTATTCTTGATTGGAAGGGGTATTGGTTGGTAGTATCCTAGGAAGAAAATCTAACTTGTAGACAACTATTGTACAAATTCTTATATATAAACATGAGTATGTTTCTAAGTAACATATAATTATTGAAACATATTGATATATTTTTAAATTTGAGTGTCAAAGGAGCTGTCACAATAGTTTAGATTTCATTAAAATTGAAGAATATAAAAAACTATTTTTCATTTTATAGGGAAGAGCAATAATTGTGTGAATCTTGGATTACTGCAGGAAATCTAAAGATAGTTCAAATTTAAAAGATAGCGTAACCATTTTATTATTCTGAATTTGTGTCTTAATTTGGGATGAAATTGTAATGCTAAGAAGTGTTGTCAGAGGAGATGAAATATAGACACAGTCATAGTATCCATAAGCAATAATAAATAATCATTTGAAAATACATAATAACAAGGAAAAGTGATCATGAAAAACTTAATTTCTTTTAAAATAAAAAATAAAATTTAAAAATTGTCAAATGATTAGGGGTATGCCAAAATTAAGAAATTTTACACAATGTTATATTAATTAAAGGAAAAATATTTAATTACAGAATACCTTGGTTATTTTATAGAATTAAATTATAAAGCTTAGTTTTATTTTGTATATCTTCCTTGTCATACTTTGAAATAATTTATAATATTTTTCATTATGCATACATCTATGAACATTGAGCAATTAATTTCCCTTTAAAAATTATTTGAAAGTATTATAAATGTAGGCACTTAGGGTTGACTGTCCTCTGATACTGTATTTTGATGAAATTCCTTAAATTTTCTCTTATAATTACCTATTTTTAATGAAAAATTTGAGAGAATCCTTATCTCTGCATTATGTATTTAGAAAGATATAGATATTTAGCCATTTGAGTAGGTAATAAAATTAATATTTTTAATGTTAGCTTTATCATGTTGCACATTCTGTTAATTTATGTCCATTTTATATATATAAAATAAGGAACCAGGACAAGTTGGAAATATTTCAGTGACCAATGTGACTTTTCTTAGAAATCAAAACAGTATTCATAAACTAAACTTTTTAAATTAATTTAATATTAGTCTATTGTCTTAAAGTTTTCTGAAGAAATAAAAACTATAAGCCAACACCATTGGTCTTTTTGATATGTAGGACTACAAGAATTCACAAGACTGAACATTTATAAAAGATACAACTTACTAAACAATCTTATATTTTGGTAATCATAAACTATTTATTAAATTAATTATACCTTACTGGACCCATATAATTAATGTGCAAATTTTTTAAAGTTTAAAATATAAGAAATTAAACCAAGTCTTGTATTTAAATATTGTACTAACCTTATTTTTACATGGTGATAAAATAAAAAAGAATGCATAGAGATATTTTTAAGCTAAAACTAACCCACTCTAAGTAGTTAAAAGAGTCATCTACATATTAGGACTAGTGTGTGAACTCCTTTTAATGTAAGTGATATTATGTATTCATATGTCAAACTTTTAAAATATTTACATGTATGCTATGAATCTATTTATCTAAAACCTAAGCCCTTACTCAAACTTCCAGTTATGCTTATTGATTATGAGTTATAGTTTTCCAAGAAAAAAATATAGATATGAAGCCATATCTTTTGAATTTTTTAAAGTTTTTTTTCTCTTTTTACCCCTTTTATTTTGTATTTAACTGTTTATCTGGATAAGATATTCCTAGAGTGTACTGCTAATAAAAGAACAGTTTCTTATGATCAACTAATCCCAACATTTCTCCAAAAAGGTGAAAAAGGAGGAGAAGAAGAAAAAAAAGAACTGGTGGGAGCCAAGTTCAACCATATATACATTTATCACTGGAAAAGCTGATTGTTTTCCTTTTAAGGAAAGTAAAAGGCTTAGATGTAGAACAATTATACTTTGATATACAGATGACCAAAAGTCATATCAAAATACTTTTTTTTTTCCTTTTACTTTGTAATAACCACTAGGATCTTCTTAGAAATAGATATTCTATTTGGCGGTTAATTTTTTTTTAATTACTGAAAGAGTAAAATAGTCCTTAAAAAAAATCCATTAGAGATCTCCTATCCTATTCCATACCATTAAAAAAAAAAGTGTTTTTCTTGTTTGGTGTTCAGAATGAAAGTGGGTAGGAAGGCAACTAAGATTTCAATATACAAAAAGTGCAATGTAGCCAAGAATTTAATTGAACATCTTTCTTCTATATTCCAAAGTATTCTGGTAGCTCTAATACATTACATTCCTTATTCAGCCTCAGAGCTCTTGTTCTTTCTCACATGTTACACATGTTATCTTATGTGTTTTTATGTTCTTCTTGTCAACTCCAACAATGTATGTATCATGATGGCTGAATAAATTTACTCGATTAAAGTTAAAATGTGAAAATTAATTTAGTTATATGCTGCTATCATATATTAACTTATTCACTCAATACATATTTGTGTACAGATGTGTGATAAAGTTTCTTATCAATCTGGATGAAAAGGTCAGTGTATTAATATTCAATTTTCAACTTGTTAATTTTCTAAATCTATGTGACAGATTTAACTGTCACTTGAAATGAAACATTCATTCATTAAGAAAGAGAAAGTGATCCTGAAAGAATACAGAAAAAAGAGAGTCTAAAGAAAAACAGAAGAGGAGGGGGGAAAAAAAAGATATTTTGGATGTGCACAAAGAAATGTACACAGAAGAATTTGGGGGGATAAAAGCCTGGTGTAGCAGAAGAGAAACATACTATAGCTTCAAACAGCTGATCTTACTCTAGTCCTCCCTCAGGTGCTGGATTTTTGGTATAAAAGTTCTTAATTTCACTATTGGAAACTTTACCTTGTCTACTATACAACTTTCCATCTGCTTGCATCCTTAAAGAGATAAAGATAACTGTTTTCATTTGTATTGATTTTTTTAATTTCAAAGATGTTTAAATCATACCTGGAATATCTTAAAATAAATATATGAATATTTATGAAAATTGTTACAATGAATTTGTTAAAACTTACTTTTTAATTTCCTTCACCAGACAGGTTTATGGCCAACATAGGCAACTATATTCAATTTATAAATAGTCTTCATAAGAGGAAAGGAATGGAAAGAGTGATTTCTAAAAGTTCCTTTATATTCTATGTAATAAAATGATAATAAGTAGTATAAATAGAAAATAAAATCCATTCCATTTCTCATGGAAGCCTTCCATTTTACTCATTTTTTGTCAATGTAATTAATTATTATTACATTCTGCATAATATGTATGTAATATCATAGGCATTAAGCTTTTAATTTTAACCACTGATGTCATATACATTCCTATAAAAACATTATTAACAGTGATTATGTATTATTTACAGATATTGGCTGACCTAGAAAACCATGCATTATTTAAGAATGATTTGGAATGTCAAAAGCTGATTCTGGAAGCAATGAAATATCATCTATTGCCAGAAAGAAGAACTTTAATGCAAAGTCCAAGAACTAAACCTAGAAAATCTACAGTTGGAACTCTGTATGCAGTAGGAGGAATGGATAACAACAAAGGTATACAATTCTTCATCTTTATATAATACACACCCTGTACCATACCATGGCACGATCTTAATATTGTAATCTGTATAATACCAATGAAACTCACATGCTTTATACATTAAGATTTAATATTAAGGGAAACATTTAAAGAACATCTTTTCTTTTCAGTCTGTGGTTGCTGCTTCTGCTTATTATTTATCTTTAACTCCCTTATCTCTTGTGCATTATGGGCCAGAGTTCATATGAAATGAAAAGGGGATTGAAGCACTTACAAAACACAGGCCAAATAATGTGTTGGATATATTCACAACTGTATTTCAATTCTAAGCAAAGAAAATGTAATATGCCAAGCACATACTGGCTGAGAGCAATATTATGAAGAAGAGAGTTTCTTTTGAGGCATTTAGAATCTCATATGGAAGCCAGGCAAATAAATAGACAACTATACATAAGTGGCAGTTGTATTTTACAAACCTAATTTGATTACCAATTTGGCCCTTCAAAAGGAAGTGAATGATTCATTTAAAAGTTGAACACAGAACATTTGAAGGTTTTTTTTATTATGTTATGTTAATCACCATACATTACATCATTAGTTTTTGATGTAGTGTTCCATGATTCATTGTTTGCGTATAACACCCAGTGCTC